TGATAACGGGGGTTACATTATGTAGGGTTCTTGGAAGCATGTTTAATTAACCCCTGAATTAAAACCACAAGCACTGAGTGACGCGCTGTTCTTGTATTAGCTTTATTAATTTGCTCAATATGTCGCATATATGTACAAAATTTCATGTAATTTGCTCGATATGTCTCAAGTATGAAATGTCATGTTTACCAAATTATATGTTATTACTTATTTACCGTATGTTTGATGTGTAAGTGACAAAATAATGTTGTTCTGGAAACCTCTTCACCATTTTAACTATTCATAGGAAATAATAACTGAAATCGTTAAAAGAACGTTGCAAGTAAATGTACCTTTGCCTTTATTAGTAATTTATTCATTTTAAACATCAGATGTGGTCACAAGAAGGTCCTTAAAAGTCAAATCCTATTATAGAAACAATAAAATCGTAACATGAATGCTGTAAACAGATATTATATATATGTACAAATGTAATAAATATGTGAACAGTGACTGTAATTTCGTTATATTACGACAACACACAAGTAAGATAATTAAATCCGTTTATGAGACTGTCATAAAATGTACCAAACACCGATTTTATTGGACCTCATAATTATATTCTGTTAATGCTCACTTCCACGCCCTCGTAAAATATATTTTTATATTATTTTTATCCTTCGTTCTAACTTCATTCAATATAATATCAATCTAATAATATTCCAGTATCCATTTAAATTAAATATTATATAACATAGTAAAATTATATTATACATATTCATGAAATACGTACTTTCAATCAAATATGAACAAAAACTTATTTTAAACAATGAAGACGGTTTATCAATGAACCTCTTTGTGGAGAATATTTTTTACCTACTCGTCTAGTACCTACTTCACGATTTTATTATTTTCATTATCCTATATCCTACTTTCAAACTATTACATAAAAATTGGTATACATAATTTTAATTTCCCTGACTTTTAAATGAAATAGAACCCATATTACTATTTACGAAAAAAGACAGTCATTTATTATGTCTACAACAATATAGCCAGTGTTTTTATAACAACTATCGTGATACATTAATTCTAAAAAACGTAAATTAGCTAAAAATCGTTGGTAAAACACTTAAAAATACCAAGAAAACTTCTACTAGACTACTAGTCTACTAGTTTCAAACCACAGGGTTCTTCCTCATGAGCAGCATGCGCGGTCGCGGCGATGTCGCGCAGCCTACAACCGCTGCTTAGTATTTTCACGTGAGTATTTCACGACTTTTAGTTATTATAGCCAATGTAGTAAAACCAAGTTATCATTTCTATACATTGCCACAACAAAGAAATAAATTTATAATTATTTAAACACAACATTACTAAGCATGGGTATTCAGTAACTGTTCATTCGTCCCTTACTGTAATTCTCTAAGCAGGGTTGACCTACTGTTTTCTGGCTTGATGGGGCCCAATAGGGCCGATGCCGATTCGGAGTTGCGGAGAACCTAACGGGTAACCGGGGCTACGGCTCGACGTGCAGGAGAAGGAACGGGGTGGTTTTTAGTCAGTAAGAGTCTGACACTCCCTCCCGCCTCACCCAGGCGGGAGCAGTCATTCGATGATTTTCCCCCTTAAAAAAAAATTAAAAAAAATCCTACCTAAATAAATGAGTTGTAAAATAACAGCCCTTCTGCCGTTTTTTTCTTAGAATTCATCTCTACTCTACCAGCGGGTCTCATACGAGTAATTAATGAACAACAGATTTAACAAAGACCGAATAGGTTTAAAATGCACTTTTTAAACAATTATATCCAACTAGCTTTTACCCGCGGCTTCGCACGCGTCACAAAAGGATAAAAAGTAGCCTATGTGACATATAGATACACACAACGCCATCTATACGAAAACTTTTGTTTTCCTTCGGGAATATCACATTTTTCCGCGAATAAAAGTACCCTATTATTTAATCCGGACTTCTAACTTTACGTCTGTAAAAAATCAAAGCAATCGGTTTAATAGTTCCGGCGTGAAAGCGGAACAAACAAACAAACTCACTTTCCGATTTATAATATTAGCAAGGACTCTTCTGCTAAGTGCAGGGATTATGACAACCCCTCTTATGTAGATACGATTAAAAAATATACACTGTGTAATTTATATAAGGTTCATTTTATCTTTAATTAAATCCAGTTAGAGAGTGCATGACCTGACTAATGATACGTCTGCTTTCATTAATGAGCACCAGTCTAATTATAAAGAAGACAAAATAATTATAATGTACGTTTTCTATAAACAAATAACTAATTAAAATATCTATTTTAGAACAGTCAACCTTCAAACAATTTCTGAGGGAATATAAACAACGTACTGAGAATAAAAGCGTGATATTTGATACATAATTTATCTTATGAAAATATAATTAGCCAAAATGGTTACTTAATAGGTAAGCTATCTCTGTCTGTACCTCCGCGACTCAAACGTTATTCTTTTATTAAAATGTGCTTTCAAGGACATACGTCACAAAGGTCATCAGCGTTTTGTTCCTTGACATGCTCTTCAAAGCGATGGGCCACCATTTGAATAAAACCTAGAAGGATCTGATGAAAATACGCTTTTTCCTTTGTTTTTATTTTGGTCGCAAAATAGAAGACCCGAAAAGGGTTCGGGATCCGATTCAGTTAATGTATAACGAACCTTTTCTTAAGCGAAAGAAGGGAACATGAAAGGGAAGGATTTCCGCGTGCCCAATTTTATTTTAAAATGCACTTAGAGTAAACACTGATGGGCTTGCGGTCCGAAGTATTGGACCGGAATGAAATCGACGACGATTTGAAACTGAGCACATTGTACCATGATTGTTTTTGCAGTAGCATTAGGGAAAAGGTCAATTCAGTCTTGAGAGAATGTGCTGTTCTCTAAGACTTCTGATCTACATTTTTACATTATCTAACAGTTCTCCCTAATTTTCCCACTTTCCTGTTGGACTATGAAAACACTTTGATGCAATCTTTTTGGATAAGAACGAGTCATAAAAGCATTTTTCTACCACTAACTAACTATCGCATCTAACACTAAATGAGTACATGTTGAAATTGGGCACACAAGTCCCCTAGTAATTAACACAAACAGGTCACAAAAACCAGCGAAACTGCGAGCTCGATTAAAGCAGCGCTCTGCCGGATAGGTAATAAACTACCCGTTCATATTCGACGGGCATGTAATGACTTCTAAACTACCCGTGATAGAAGCTTCTAAAACTAAAAGCAAAACGCATCGCTTTAGATAAAGATTTACGTGGCAATAAAGTGGATAATGCTGTGCCAGTTCCAGACGCCAATTCTAGTTTTTGATTGTAAAAATTCTGTACCTACTTACTTACCCAACATCATAATTTCGGGTTTTCTGAGTATTCCGATAGATACCCTGATTATAATTCTCAGTTTTTCATTGTAACGTCATCATGAAATTATGTTTTCGATTTTGATTACCTTAGATTAGGTAGACATACATATTTCACTGAACTAAATAAAGCTACAAATTTGTATAATTTCAGGGTACATGGCATTTTTATTACCTGTATGAAACGAATAAAACTAAAATAACATGATTGCGCGTTGTTTAACAATAAAAAACATTAATTACAAATCAAGAACTTTAGTCAGCTCCGTGAATTTATTACATCTATTCTTTGACGCAAAATTAATAACGGGGCAAATATTTTATTATTTATTTATCGTTAATACTGATCATAAAATGGAGGACAACTTTTAATTACAATTTACGACTTCATATTGTTTACGAGTGCATGTAGTGCCGTGCCAACTGTCGTATCGACACGGAATTATAATTTGGATGGTACTATAAACACGTTTTGTTGGTGACAAACAACTATTATAATATGACGCCTTTTATTCATATTGGAATGAAAATAGCATAGTTATATTATGCAGAAGCTTTATACTGAGTAAGAATTTAAGGAACAGCTAACATATGGTATGGTTAGACAAATGCAAAATTATTAGCCACTCGATTCACTTTGATACCAAAATTCTAATTGAGATTGGATCAAGAGACGCTTGCCATATCTGCTCCTGGACTAACTGCCATTTACGACTTTTCTTACTACCCACATCAGTAACTTATCTATATATGTTTCAAAATTTGTGGATGAAGATAGATTTCTGACAAAAACTCCATAAATTTAATGTCAAATATCAATCCATATCTGCAGATTGTGGGTTGAGATTAGGTTATTAAAATCAGCAGTTAATCGACAGAAATATTGTTAAGACTGAAAAATAGATGTAATATTTGAATAACTTCTATCAACCTCTTCGACGACTAAGAAGCGTCTTTACGCTTACTAACTCTACGCAACTTTTTAAGTGATAACAATTGTCTAAAATATCTGTCATCCTTAACTAAGAAAAACTGTAATCGCACAAAGTACTGTAAAGATATTTCTTCATTTCGTATACCTAACACAGTGCCTAAAAAGATCTGGGTAGGTAATAATTTACAAAAAACATTAGGGGAAGGTGGGGTAAGACGGGGTAGCGAGGTAAGATGGGGACCCTACCAAAATAGATAATACAGTCTCACTAGAAAATTGGTTTCAACGCCATCTAACTCTGTTTAGTAGTACTAGTCAGTGTCGGTCGCTACAAGTTCGATCGGAGGAGTGCACGTTTCTACTTGGTAAGTACATTTTTTATATTTTAAGTGGTTTTATCTAATTATTGACTCACATAAAGTGCGTGACTGTTTATAGTTAATTATATGTGAGATGTGAAACATATTTTTTTATTGGTGTGTGTTTGTTTAACTGTTATATACTCATTAATTCGTTCCGGTTTGTTGTGATTTATAACCTCAAATTTTTTTTTACAACTTATAAGTCCAGTTTGGGAAAGATGGGGTACCTAATTGCGGGCAAGACGGGGTTGGTACCCCATCTTACCCGCTGACTGGTTTCTGTTTTAACATTTTTAGTTGAGTTAATTTAATTGTTTCTTTTATAGAGTATGGTTCGAGATTATAAGAGACGTACTAATAGAGGAGGGTGGAGTGAAGAACAAATTAAATTAGCCATTCAAGCAGTTTTAGATGGAAAAAATGGTTATAAATCAGCCAGCAAGACTTATAATGTCCCTCAAACAACACTCGAGCGTAAAGTTAACCAAGCCAGAAAAAGAGAGAATAATATACTAAATGTCAAAGTTCCGTTGGGTCCGATTACAACAGTATTTTCAGAAGAAGAAGAACAAATCCTTGTAACTTATTTAAAGGAAATGGAAGGAAGATTGTTTGGGTTGTCAACATCCGAATTACAGAAGTTAGCCTATGAGTTAGCAGTCCGTAACAACAAACAGCATAAATTTAATGAACTCAAGGAAAAGGCCGGTAAAGACTGGCTGCGTGGATTTCTGCACCGTCATCCTGACTTGAGTTTACGCAAGCCAGAAAACACGTCTGCGGCTCGTGCTGCTGGGTTTAATAGATTGTCTGTTGGTAAATACTTCGAACTGCTTGGAAAAGCACTTGATGATAACCCTTTTACTCCAGATAGGATTTATAATTGTGACGAGACAGGTATTTCAGTGGTGCCAAAATCACGATCCAAAGTGATTGCAGCAACAGGTAAAAAGCAAGTGGGAGCCTTGACATCGGCGGAACGAGGTACAACTATTACTATTGAAATTTGTTTTAACGCTGCAGGGACATACCTTCCTCCTATGTTTATATATCCTAGAAAACTTATGAAGCCCGAACTGCTAAATGGAGCCCCACCAAATTCATGGGCAGAATGTTCAGATTCTGGGTGGATCACTGCAGATATTTTCTTACGATGGTTTCAGAAGTTTGTGAAACTCACCAATGCTTCTAAAACAAACCCAGTTATGCTGATTTTAGATGGTCATGCCTCTCACACCCAAAATTTGCAATTAGTTGATAACGCACGTGAACATGGCGTGACAATAATATGCTTCCCACCACACACTACTCACAAACTACAGCCAGCTGATGTTGGTTTTATGCGGCCCTTGAGTATCTTTTATGATCAGGCTCTAACAGCATGGTTGAGATCAAATCCTGGGAAAGTAGTTTCCCAACTTCAAGTGGCTGAACTCTTTGGGCAAGCATTTATTCGGGCAGCGACAATGTCAACTGCAATAAATGCTTTTAAAACATGTGGAATTTCACCTTACAATCCACACGTTTTTACCGAAGACGACTTCATTGCTGCAGAGGCCACTGAAATCGAATTGAACGCTGAAACGGAACCCGAAGCTGATATAAATCCCACGCCGTCTGTTGCAGTTATCCCACAAGAAACACTGGCAGTTCCTTCAACAATAATATCGCCTGATCCTCAAATGGCCACCGGCAGTGCCTTAAATTCTTCAGCAAACAATGTAGATCCAGTGGCTCCCACAACCTCAAATTTAGTTCAGCAAGCACCAGGAAATGATTCTTTGGATACTTCATTCAATCTGGTAAGCCCGAAACAGTTAATGCCTTATCCACGAATGGCCGAAAAAAGACCTAGACAAGTTCGAAGAAGAGGAAAAGCAGCTATTATCACTGCTTCTCCATATAAAGCAGTATTAGAAGAGAGGCAAAACAGTAAGAATTCGACACCAAAGGTAACAAACAAAAAGAAAATGAAAAAAACAACCAAGAGATCTAAAAAAGAGAAGAAAGCTGATGATGGCGCTGAGACATCAGATAACGAAGATACAGAATGTCTGTACTGTCAAGGCCTGTATTCAGAGTCTAGTGAAGGATGGATCACTTGCCAGACTTGCGGTAAATGGGCTCATTGTGGGTGTGCAGGAGTGGACGATAACGATGACGAAGCTGTCCATACTTGCCCGTTTTGCGAAGACTCTTAAATATTCTATTTATTATACTCTATACCCCATCTTACCCAAGGGGGTACCCCGTTTTGCCCTATAGGTGGGGCAAGATGTAGAGATTTAGTTATTTTGTTAAAATTGATATTTCTATGAGAAGACTTGTTATATTTTGTTTTGACTGATTATAATTAAAAGAAGAAAGACTGATTATTATCTTAATAAAAGTTCCTACATTGTGCAATTAAAATTGAGGGTTTTATTTACAAAATGCCTTAAATTCCCCATCTTACCCCACCTTCCCCTACCTTACATTTTAATGGCGTCTAAAACTTACTGAAAATGACAAACAGCATTGTCTTCATCATCTCTGTACATTAATAAATATAAATGAACTAAATTTACCCGCTTTTAAATAAAAACGAGGTACTAGAGAGCTGTTTTAGCTTTTAATAAAGTATTAAACGCGTAGGCACTGTCATTTTGAATAGTAATGTCTGCACAAATGAGATTTCGCGGAGCTTATGAAAACAAAGCTTTATTTGCTAAATAGCTATAACTATTATTTTATTACGAACAACATGCGGTTAAAATATAAACGGGTTTTATTACATCATTTCACTTTATTATATGTCATAGAATTTTGCCATTAGATAATACAATAAGAAGTTCTATGAAAGATATGTGGTACAGTTTATTATCCAATTTGGTGCCAAGTTCTATCGGAATCGTTGCAGCCGTTTCGGCATGACTGAGTTACAAACTAGGGAATAAACTTTTAGATTTATGGCTTCAGCAAAAAATGTTCCCTGCACTTTTTCAATCTTGGCGTTCTTTTTCTAACTTTCCGTCGCTGGATCAAAACGATTCACGTTTTTTTCTTTTTTTTATTAATAATGTTAACTGTATTTTTATAATAACTATCGTGAGACGTACTAAATTAACTAAAAATCACGGGTTGCTCACGTAAATATACTGAGAAAAGCTCTGCTAGTTTTGAGCCATAAGACGGCTCTTCCTCGTGAGCAGCGTGTCTAAATGTCTAAATTGTGTTATATATAACATCACGCCTTTTATCCTTGAAGGGGTAGGCAGAGGTGCACATTATGCCACTTTACAATGTAACACACACTTTTCACTATTTATGTTATGAGTCCTATGTAATAGGGGGTGAGCCTATTGTCATATACCGGGCACAATTCCAGACTCCGTGCTCCGTGCCAGTAATAATTTGCCCGACCCGGGAATCGAACCCGAGACCCCTTACTCGGCAGTCGCACTTGCGACCACTCGGCCAACGAGGCAGTCTAAATTATGATCGCGTTTAATAAGCATAGTTACATTGTTAATGTATTTTTGTTATGTTTCAGTAGAACATTAGGGGATAATTCTGAATATTTAGTTGAAAACGCCGGCGCGTGCAGGTAATGCACATAACGCTTAAGCAAACGACCCACTGTTTTAGAGGTTTATTCCATTTTAATCTCACTTCATATCTACATAAAATTTGTCGACAGACTACTACAATTGTAATTTTATGTACTTACACTTAAATGTTTGTCTTTATTGTGCAGTACGTATCTCTTATTGAACAAATTAAACTTAAACATAAGTTGGTTCACTTAAGTTAAGATTTTCATTATTTACTTAAACGATCATTGTGGTTCAAACGATTTTGTGAATCAAATTATATCATGGGCTTAAATATTTCAACCGTATACCTAACTTTTATTACTTGTTTCAGCAACACTGTTATTACATAATATATTTCTCAAAAACTAAAACTAAATTATGCGAAAACTAGTCTTCTACGAAGCAAAATCTAGCTTATAACACATATAAGTTAAGGGGAAGCGACCTGAAAGACAATATACCTTATTTACTCCGCCATGACACTTCAGCTGGCGACAGCTTAATACAGGAGCATCACATTATCGTTAGCATAATCAGTGAAGCGACTACACCTTTACGAACACCAAACATCCAAATGAGGATTTAAAAATCCCTTAATGGCTTTTTTTAGTACAACCGTCCACCAAAGTTCCAAGTGAAATGTTCACAACCAAAACGAATTAAAGTTTCCGATGAAGAAATGTGAAGTTTCTTTCACGTTGTTATTGAGTTGTAGAAGTTTTGGAACATTGTTATTATGATATGGATTCAATAAGATACCCCTTTTGTTGGTGACTGCTTAGCGAGATACATCCTTTTCAAAGTAATTGTTTGCGTATATTACGGATAGTTTTAGATTTGTTACTGCTTATTAACAATATTAAGGACCTGTTTCACAATATCTGGAGAGCCGTCTGGATATCTACTAGATAAATTTGAATTAAGAACGTAATTTGTATGAACTATCTGTCACATAAGTTTATAAGTTACTTATATAGAGGTGGTGAAACCGGCGCTAAATCTCATTTCTCTTTCTACGTTTATAAGTGTATGAAAGTAGTTAAATATTTAAAAAAATGGTTTGATTTTAAATAACGTTCATGTATTTCTTAATACATATGAAAACTTTGGCTTTGTCTGCCTCGTTAGCCGATTGATCGCAAGTGCGACTGGCAAGGTGTTTCGGGTTTCGATCCCCGAGTCGTCCAAAGAATTACTGGGTTTATTCAAAAAAATCTCAGTAGTAGCACAGAGTCTGGAAATGTGCCCAGTATATGGCAATAGGCTCACCCCTATTACTTGGGACTCATAACATAAAGAGTGAAAAGTGGGTGTTACATTGTACAATGACAGTAAGTGCCGTAATGTGCACCTCTGCCTACCGTTCGAGAATAAAAGGCGTGATGTTGTATTATATTATGGTATACGAAAAATGTATATTAACATGTTATGATATTACTTATCTTCTGTACGTGTACTTTTTTCAAAACCAATTAACATTAATTTAAAAAAATTTGAACGCTTAAAACCTCTATGTCGAAAAAGAAGATTAAAAAAATTAAAAAATAAATTCAAATTACTATGTTCCACGTTCCACCGAAGTAAAAGTTTCGTGGCGAAGACGAAACCAAGAATAATGTTCGTTTTAAGGTGTAATGGCGTACAGCACTTCGCTCTATGCTATAATGAGGGCCATTTACCCATAAATGAAAACAAGTGGCTTAGCCGAGACACCGCATAACGACGGTATTACCCGACGGATGGGCTAAGCCAACATGTGACAACGATATTATACTGTGTTTAATTACATTTTACGTTGAATGGACTGATTGGTATACCATTCTATTGGGTCATGTGAATTGAAAACTTAGCTACAAATAATGTATACCTAGGTAAGGCGCATATTTAGTAATATAAAATAGGCCAAGCCACGTTATATGCTGACATTGCGCTAACACTTAGGTCGACGCCGTATCATCACTTGGGAAGATCCTCTACCCTCAATAAAAATACAATGTAACGCCAGTGTGTCAGTTCACATATTCTCAAAGAGTATGTCCACACGTTTTACTTAAAACCGAACGTTCACTGATGACAGTATTAAAGTTCATGAGATAGGAGTGGAACACATCGTAGCCTTTTTGGGCACAATTCCAAACCATAGCGCCACCTACTATAGATGTGAAATTAATTTCACTTGTACTCTAAGCCTTAAATAATACAGTTTTAACGCGAAGAATTCGCTTATGAATATTGTATTAAGATAATGTGAATTAATGTGTAGGTACACTGTACAGAATTTTATTTATTTATACGCCCTTTATATAACAAGACTTGCAATAATAATTAGCGAGATTTACAAAGTGTAGCAGGTGGCTGGTACACGGAATAACGACCTTTTAATTCACACAAAGGGGACAGGAATAGCTCCTCCAATATAGGGAGAAGTTCATTTATTTATGTTTCGCTCAAACTTAGTATTGCGTAAGTTCGCTCTGTAGGGTAACACTCATAATTGCTGGCTACACGCCAAACTCATTGACTTCGTGCGATTTTATTAAATTCTTCATTTTACGTTTTAATCTCAGCTCGCTGTTTTGTTGTTTGCACAAATTAGTTGTGGAAATAGTAGCGGGAATATGATCTACCGCATTTAACTATTTATCATTAATGGCGTAGGTAAGTAATAAAATAGCGGAAAATCCAAAATACTAAACTATATTGGGGAATTTAACATGAAATAGAATAACAGTAGCGTCATACATTATGCACTATTAAAACAAGATATTTATGACATACACCGCCGATAAAATTCATACAATAGAGCTATTTGAAATTCTAATTAACTCGTAACCAATAACTAGTGTACAGCAATATAGGAATACTGACATGATATACTCTCGCATTATCTGGTCAATTTAATACAAATTGTCAACCTCCATAAATTAGGACGTATCTAGTCGCGCCATCGAAGCAAACATACAGATATAAAGGCCAGAAGTCGATATCATTACACATAAATTTCACTTATCTCCACATTTGGCAATTTGGTCGGATGCCTCCGTTACCGGGGCTTACAATGGCCTTCACATACCTACCTCCGCGTTTAACTGGAACTCGCATTTCACTCAATAGTTCTCAATCTAAATCAAGTCCAAATCGTCTGCAATCTTTAGAACAGTTCCCTTTATTGCGAGCCGTAAACGCTACAATTCGTCAGCTCCGTGATAGTTGGTGTTTAGTAGGTGTATCGTAAAGGTGTTTTCGGTAAACAATAGCTCGATACTATTAGAAACTTTTCTTGGTATTGCTTATGTCATAGTAGTACTGATTTTCCCTACATTACTTATAGCAATGTCGTTTTATGGATATTTTTTGATGACCTAATACGGGTAGTTTGTACTGTATGTAATAAAAATCAGAATGTACGAGCTCAGGGTTATAATTCGAACTAAATGGGTTTTATAAGGGTTGGAATAGGAACCCAACTAAGAATACTGATAGGGATAACAAGGGTGCAGTGTTTTCGAAATGGAGACTTCTACGCGGAAGACAACATGTCGATAGTACTTCACTTTTCATCATTCCTTTACAAAATTAATTATTACACGTAACTGTTTGACGAAAAACTTGAGCAGTTTCAAGCCATGCTCATGAGAGGCTCATATGCATGAGCAGATAAGAAGCAGTATATAAGGCTCACTAGACGTTGAACCCTTTAATTAACCATAATACCAATCTATTGTCAAACGCAGGCAGCATACCACAAGCAATATAAATCACAAATCCAAACTTAACCTGCTAACACAAATAAACAGCAAAACACAACGTTACCCAACTTTAAATCCGTCCGTAGGTACAACAGAATCATTTTTCATATAAAACTTTTGAAAATGTAACATCGCACAA